ATATAATTGAATGTTTGAGATATTGATGTATTTTTCTATAAACTTGATCAAAGCTAACTTTGACTTAGCACAATACTGAATCGACCAATATTAGTGAACAGAGAGAGGATAAGCTAGTGGTTTGACAGGTACATTTCGGTAACTCACTTGCCATGGGCCCGTTTATTTCCGCTTATAATCCGATCCTCGGTGGAAAAAAGTGAGCCGCAAAATGCTTTGATTATTTCTGATTATTTTGACCGCCGCTTCAGAACTTTGAACTACCACAATCGAGAATCGAAAAATTCCCTACTGTACGACGATTTTAATCGAATCGATTATAAACACGGTCCCAAACAGGGCCATGATCGAGCTCGAAGAGGGGGCACATCTCACCACCAAAGATAATGAAAGTTGCTCTTGTGGCTATAATAATGCTAGGTTTTGGGAGGCGGATTGATCGCCACATGAACAAATAGCTGTGTTCCTCTTGTGGCTAGATAACAAGCAGTAGCAGTGTGCATGTGGGGACTAAAGAGCAAGATATATAGTGCGTAAGTGGGGTGAGACTTTGAGAGATGTAACGTTGGGATAATTAGATCTTGAATGTTTGGTAAGCGAACTCTATAGGGAGTAATAAGGAATATAAACCATCATGATTCATGCTTTTATTTGTGATGGTGAAAATGTTTTGGAGACGATGAAACAAGAAAAAACTTGGAACATTAGCTGCAAGACGCATCTGTTTAGAATTTAAGGGGCGGCCAACATTTTGTTATGATCTGCCATAATTAGTGTTGAATCCATCTTAGAGAAAACCATAAAATTTCAAGAAAGATCTTCCATTATTGACATCCCATGCATGGTTATTTTCGTAGCCCCCTTCCCCAACCAAGAAAAACTTGATATTTTGCTCTTATACATGCATTGCAACTAGCTAACTAATGTTGAAGCCCTTTAATTTGTAGTGGTTATAGTTTTGAAGGTTCACGAAAACCTTTCCACGGCTTTTATTGTGAAGAGCTCTCATGCATATTGGCAGGTGAAAGTTGATAAACCACCTATCATTCTGCAAGTGTATGCGGGCTATGTGGGATTAGTGCATCAGTATCTATCATATTGCTGTGGTATAATGTACATATATTACGTAGAAATCGTGCATGTACGTTGAGACTAATTCCTACTCCTACGTGCCAAGTACAAAATGTTAAGGAGAACGACAAGATGAGATTCTTATCAAGCGGTTCACCTACTATACCATTTTAAAAATAAAGGAGCTAGGAAAAGGGCTGAGATATGCATGCAGCGGGGCTTCATCTTTTACCGTGATAGGAGCTAGCAACAATTGAGTTTACCGTACCATTGGTCTCCAAAAGAGAGAACGATTGGGTTGCTACAAAGTTCATGCATGGTTTGTCATAACTCCTGACCTTTCCCTTGGTATATAGGGTTTAGATTTCCTTGCCGGAGGATGATTAGGGTTCAGGGCTCTAGGGACACTGTTATGCTCATGCATGATAGTACATCTGACCATACATGCATGCAGTGGCAGTAGAAAAGACAGTGGGCGGTGAAACAGTGGCTTGACCCACTCAGGTTTGGTCCATACTCCACAGTCCACACCCCCATACATGCACACAGGGGGAATCCTACTTGTTGCCAAAGCCAAGCACTGCGAGACAAAGCCCAGTCCAGGAAGGACAGCACTACTGTGCAAGTAAAGGGAGAGAGGTTGCACGCAAGCGTCCATACAAAAAGCTCAAGGCGTTCTTGGTAGGTGCACATATAATATCTGCACACAACTTTCCAAAAAAAAAAATCTGCACACACACTCGCATTCAACTTAATTCCGTGGTGTACATGCATGTTGTTGCATTTGTGTCGGAGATAGATAGATGCTGCATTAGGGCCTTACGCAGATGTGTACAAGCACAAAGATTTTACACCCCGGCCCCACCGTATGTATGGGTCACGCACGCAGGGCAGAGGCAGCAGGACGAAGAGGAGAAAAAGGCCCCTGCTGGTGAGTGGTGACAGTAGTGCAGTGTGTCATGCATGTCGCCGGCCGGCCCGGCTATTAGTGCTCCGGCGGTCCGGCGGCCTCCTATAGGGTTCCCGCGCGCAGGTATATGTTTGTCTGCGCTTGCCTGCATTGCATGCGTATCATCATATGCATGTGTGCGTATGAATGAAGGGGATGGACAATCATATCTATAGATAGATCATAGCTAGCTAGCTCGATCTAGGGTTTGCTTGGTTGGTGTGCATGAGCGGTGACGGTGAGGATGAGCCAGCCACTGCAGTGTGTGGGCATGCTGCAAGTGTACATGTGTGGGTGGGTGGGTTATGTGGGATCATATTTTAGTGTGCATGCATGTTGGGGGACCTCACCTCCACCCTGGGGCCGGGATCTATATATATGGAGCTTCTTGCCAATCAACACCATCATTCAACAGCCTCACTTCATCTTGCTCTACATAGCTAGTGGCCATTTTTCATTCTTCTCTCCCTCGCCGTGTGTAGTTCTAGTTCAGATGTGTGTGTGTGCGCCATGAGCTTGCGAAGGGAGAGGAAACAAAGAATATGAGATGTTGAGAAGTAGCTAGCTAGCATGCAGGGTAACTAATGAATCTGAAGATCTTGCATGCGTGAAGAAGAATACAGTGCGAAGGCATCTTGGTACGTGCTTTGCGCGTTCATGGCATATTGGAAGCAATACAAGCAATGGCGGCAGGAGGAAGAGGTGAAAGCTAGGGAGTATGCCTGGCTCCCTGTATGCCACTCGCACGGCTACCCACCCGGCGGTGGCCGCTGCGGCTGGCGTGCGAGGTGCCAAGCATGGCCCTCATACATCTCTCTCTCTCTCTCTCTCTGTCTCTCTTATTTGATCGATCCGTCTAGCATTTCTCATTGTCCACATTACTTAGTCGCCTATTCGTGCACTCGCACGGACCAGCTAGATGCTATCGACGACATGTTTCAGTTATTTACAGCCCTAAGATTCAAACTCAAACTAACTACTCCATTTTATTATATTTCATTCATCACATACAGAATTGATTGTATTCCTTTCAATAAGATTAAGTACAAAGTTGAGTATATATTTGGATCCCTGTTATAGTTAGGCTTTCATTCAGTCGGATGCAATGTAGTGTGCATGCCCCCAAAATGGTATATATAGGACATATCTGAGCTTCTCATAATATGTATATATATAATCCATGTCTGTTGCATGCCTTGCCTCTAGTTTAATATTTTTAACATATAATCTTAAATTTTGTGAATTAGAAAACATTGTCATTGAGGATGTTATTATGTCGATATGATATTATATAAATATATAAACGCAACTATTTGAATTTAATATATATTGATCATATACATATTTAACCTTTGATGTTTACTACTGCAGTACAACTCATGTACAATTTACTCTCTCTCTATATATAAGGAAGCTGACCTATATGACTGCCTACATAGTACATACAGTCTTTTGTTTGTCTAGACTCGGCACAATGGTACATAATAATGTGCATTCAGTGAGAATAATAAGCATACTACTCAGGTCATTTGAGGCCTTCTACGGGCCCTCATACATACTATTTCCCATTGGCCCCGTTCGCTTCGCTAAAAAAAACAAGTCGAAACACTGTTTCGGCTTAAAAAAACAAGTTAAAAAGTACGGATTATTCGCCGATCCGCGTGCACTCAGCCCGGACTAGATCCGATCTGACAAATGCATGTTTTAATTATTTATTACAGCCCTAATAAGATTCAAACTCAAACTAACCACTCCATTTTTATATTTCATTATCGTCATAGAATTAATTACATTAATTCCGATCCTTAATTCAATCAGAATATACAATTACAAACTTGAGTATATGTACATTTGGATCCCTTTTAATTAGGCTTTCTAGCGCAGATTCGTAGGTGCCCAAAAATGGTAGGACCTATCTGAGCTTCTCATATGAGTCATAAACTCATAATATGTACTATAATCCTAATCCATGCCTGTTGCCTGCCTGCCTCTAGAGCTAGCTTAATATTTTTTGACATCTATTTTTTGTCAATTAAAAAACCTCGTCGCTGAGGGTGTTATGTCGACATGATTATATCTTATCAAAGTATAGATATTTGTGTTATATATACAACATTATTTGAATTTGATATATATTGATTTGTGGTATGTATATACAACATTATTATCCAGTGCATTTTTTTCCTTGTACAAATTTCCTCATTCATGTCTAGGTTTTTCTTCATTTTCCTATACAAGTCTCAACATATATGTAGTATTACTGTAGGAAGCTGACCTATATGATTGCCTACAGTCGTCGTGGTTGGCTAGAGTCGGCATACTGGAGTATAAAAATGCTCATTCATTGAGAACAAGCATACTCAAGTCATGCATGAGAGGAAAGCGAAAAAGGAAGATGACACAAACATGGGCCTGGGCTCGTGAACATGGTGATCAATTTCTTCTCTGTACAAAGCCCGATTAGCTAGTAACCTGCAGCTCTGCCCATGGCCCAATACATGCAACAAACCGGCCCAAATGATATATACACTTCCGCTTACCCTAGTATCCTATCCCCGAACCCCAACCTTATTTTCCTCGGCGAATCAGCGACGGAGTCCGCGGCGAGAGCGGCCCTTAACGAATTCCGTGCGCTTGTGGCGCGCCGCCACGGCGGGGACCTTCCCCTTCGCCGCGGACCTGTCGAAGGGTTGGCGAGCGTCCCGTCGCCCCGGGGCACGCAGACATTTGGAAGCGTCCCGTCGCTGACCGTGCCGCCGCCGCCACCGCCGCCGCCGAGTTCCGCGATCCGTCGGCGAAGACGAGGCTGTACATTGTGCATCTAGTGCCCACGGGGACGACGGGTCTCAAACGCGCCGACGTTGATCGATCCAGCAAGGCCGCCGAGCTGCACCACAGCATACCGTCTTACGTTGTCGGCGAGGAGGAAGCCACGAGATGCATGGTGAGAAGCTTCGCATATCTCCATGCGTTCTCGGCGATGCTCACCGACTCCCAGGCCCGCACTATTTCGGATCTGCCAGGAGTTTTAGGTGCTCGTCCTAATACTGAACACAGCATCGGTGATCCTACCATGGAAGATGAAGAAGATTTTACTGAACAAGATGAAGATGATTTTACTGAACATCCTACGGTGGATGATGAAGATGATTTTACTGAAAACAGTATCGATGATATCCTACGATGGAAATGGAAGATGAAGATGAAGAAATCGTGGACCACGAGAGAGCTAGATTTTTCGGCGATGCTGAACACGAGCTCAGTACACCTACGACGGGAGCTGATGAAGCAATAATCATGGAGGAGCGCATGTTGTAGGCCGCGAAGCAAGATGCGGATGATGATCGTGGGGCCGCTTAAATTAAATGTACACAGGTGTAAAGGTTAGTGCATGCCAAAAGTTGGAGCGTAAACAAGTCGAGAAGATGAGATCTCTTTAATTAAATCTCTGTTCTCTCATCTAGTCATGTAAATTTTCCTCCTATATGGCTATATCTGAGTAATAAAGTGTACTCTTTTGAAGGTGCCTACTGTTGTAGCTACCTCATTCCCCCCTTTCCATTCCACGGAATATCTACAATTTGTATGATATTTGATAGTCATCAGTTGGCAGGTTGCTTCTTATACACTATATTATTCCGATCTATGTCTTAGAATTATTATAATATTGTAGGCGCAAAACTTGCTTGCCACTACTAGTTCTTCTTGCGACAGATGCATGCAATCTTAAATATTGACACATGCTTACACTCTAATTAATTTCGTGGTTGTAGTACGTATAAATGTGGTGTATATACCCCTAGATGTGATCTGTTTTCAGATTTAGAGCGATGTGGTCTACTTTGCTTCACTTGTGGAATTGAGCACACTTAACCACGTTGTATCAAAATTGTGAAAACAAAATCTATATAGACCTGTTGACGATTCTGTGATATAATTTTTTACTTAGTGATGAAAAACTATCCAATTAACACTACTAAAATGGTGGAATTCCCGTAGTGTTTTTAAGTAGTAATAAAACACTACCACTAGTCATAGCACAAGAGAATCTCACTAGGAGACATTTAGTAGAGAAAATTTGTACCAAATTTTGAATGTCAAAACACTGGGAGAAGCCCACATCACTAGAAGAAATCTAAAATTCTGGTTGCCACCACTACAGGAATCTTAACCATGGCGCGCAAAAAGGGTTAACCAACCGCCTCAGATGAAAGGCCACGGTTAATCGTGGCCTTAACCGAGGCGGCTGCCCTAACCGCCTCAGTTAATGTATTAACCGTGGCGGGCTCCTTACAAATGCCCGCCTCTGTTAATGAATAAAAAAACAAAAAAACCCAGAGCCAACTGGTGAGCCCATTTTCGAGCCCACCGGCGAGCCCGTTTCCAGCCCTACCGCCGGCCACCGCGGCGCCGCCGTCCCTGCGCGCTCCCCGACGCTGGATCTGGAGCCACGCCGCCGGATCCGCCGCCAGTGAACTCCTCCCCACCGGATCCACCGTCGGAGCGCACCTCCTCGCCGGATCCGCCGTCAGAGCGCACCTCTCCGCTGGATACGCCGCCTGAGCGCTTCTTCGAGGCCGGATCCGTCGCCGGCGGGCTCCTTCCCGCCGGATCTGCGCCGTGGTGGAGTCGTGGAGGGAGGGGAGGAGGGGCGCGGCGCCCCCAGCCAGACGTCGGTGGTGGCCTCCTGTCCGATGCAATGCGACGAGGAAGGGAGGAGGGGAGCCTGGCAAAAGTCAACCTCTTCTTCAATTCTTCAAAGTTAGCCTGGCACTTGTCTAACCACACAAACTTAACATTTTTCTCCAGTAAAGTTGTCATGGGCTTAGCAAGTTTAGAAAACCCTTCTATGAACCTTCTGTAGTATCCAGCCAATCCCAAGAAACTACGAATCTCTCCCACATCGATTAGTGGTTTTCAATTCAACACATCTCTCACCTCACTTGGATCTACTACTATTCCACCATTAGAGACAACATGGCCTAGGAAAGAAACTAACTTCAACCAAAACTCATACTTGCTTCGCTTAGCATACAACTTGTGTTCTCTGAGCTTTTGCAAGACCAACCTTAGATGTTCAGCGTGCTCTTCTTCCGTTTTGGAGAATACCAATATATCATCAATAAATACGATCACAAACTTATCCAAAAACTCCATGAACACCTTATTCATCAAGTACATAAAGTATGCAGGTGCATTGGTCAAACCAAAGGACATAACGGTGTACTCGTACAAACCATACCTCGTAGTAAAAGCTGTCTTGGGAATGTCAGTTGCATTAATCTTCAACTGATGATAACCAGAACGAAAATCAATCTTAGAGAAAACACAAGCACCTCTCAACTGATCAAACAAGTTATCAATTCTAGGCAACAGATACTTGTTCTTGATAGTAACCTCATTTAGGGACCGATAATCCACACACATTCTCTAGGTACCATCCTTCTTGTCAACAAATATAACCGATGCCCCCCAAGGTGACGAACTAGGACGAATGAAACCTTTCTTCTGTTACTCCTTTATTTGTTTCTTAAGTTCCTCTAGTTTATTAACCCCCATTTTATATGGACGCTTAGTTATAGGTGCAGTTTCAGGTAATAATTCAATAATAAACTCAATGTCACGATCAGGTGGCATACCTGGCAAGTCATCGGGGAACACATTTGGAAACTCATCCACTACTAGGTCCTCCTTGTTGACGCAATCATCAAGCTGGTTCACTGTGGCTGTCGGCTGTGCTTGTACTACAACATCGACACTGATTCTATCCCCATTCGATGCGGTCACAACAACTACCTTCTCTTGACACTGAATGACTGCTTGTTGTTGCTTCATCCAGTCCATACCCAGAATCACATTAATGCCAGATGTTCTCAACATAATGGGGCTCACTTTGAACTCTACCCCCCTTAAGGATAGACTAGTTGGAAGACAACGATAAGAAGCTTGCATACTACCTCCTGGTGAGTTTACTAATATAGGATTTTGCATGGCACATAAGGGTATGCAATGCGTTCTAACAAATGCTTGTGATATAAATGAATGCGAAGCTCCAGAATCAAAAAGAACAGTGGCAGAAGTTGAGTTGACATCGAACATACCGAGCATGACTTTTGGTTCCGCAAGCGCTGTCTCTGTAGACACATGATTCACCTTGCCTGTGTTGGGCGCTGGCTTCTGATAACTATTCTGTCTCTATGGGGTCTGCTGGTTTGGCTTCTCAGGGCAATTATAAGACAGGTGACCCTCCTTTCCAAAGTAGAAACACTTGTTGGGAGTGCTAGGGGCACTGGTCTTCATGGGAGTGTTGTTAGGCGCTCCCTGTCGTGGTGTCTGCTGGCCACTCTGCTGTTGGGGATGTTGATTGCCATTCTACTGCTGGTATGATGGACGCTGTGGGTTCGGGTTGCGCTGAGGGTACTGACCATGATTCCCCTGATTGAGTGGTCCTTGGTACCACTACTAGAAACCTTGCTGAGAGTTGGTGCGTGGACGAGTATTGCTTCTAGAGTCTTGTCCCTGAAGCCTCCTCATCTTGGCCTCCATCTCTTTGCGCTTATTATCAATAATAATAGCACGATTCACCAGCGTTTAAAAATTGGAGTATGTATTGTACATAAGCTGGAGTTGCAGACCGTCATACAAACCCTTGAGAAAGTGATGTTCCTTATCAACATCATCAGCCACCTCATTCAGAGCATAACGTGACAAGTGAGCAAATTTGTCACGATACTCAGTTATGGACATAGATCCCTGCTTCAGAGCTTTGAATTCCTCTTGCTTGAGCTCTATTAATCCTCCAGGTATGTGGTAGGATCTAAAATTCTCTCTAAACTCCTACCAGGTGATAGGAGGAGCATTAGTGGGATGTCCATACTCAAATTCCTCCCACCAGTCTTGAGCTTCTCCCTGGAGTTGTCCTGACACGTACAACACCTTCTGCTGGTCATCGCACTGCGCTATGTTGAGTTGCTTTTCCACTGCACGAAGCCAATCATCTGCTTCCAGTGGATCAGTGACATGAGAAAACACCGGGGGTCGGCCCTTCAAGAATTCACCATGTTTGTCACGCGGTGCTCCACTAATTGGTTGATTCTGCTGATTCTGCACCAGAGCTTGCATAAGCTGTGTCTGCACTGCTAGAAGTTGCTCAATTGTCGGTGGCGGTGGTGGTGGTGGATGTGGGGGAACACCTCCATGACCTAGACCTCTTCCTCTTTCGGACATCTGACATCCAACACTAATATTCAAAATTTAGAGATTTCCAAATTATAGACACTTATAGAGATATAGAATATATTCTGAAAATTTTCTGGACGAGTTCCAACATCAGCAGCTCGATAAAATGGTCATTTCTCGAGTTCAAGATATCAAAAAGAGACATGCTTTATATGGTTGTAAAGCTTAAGAAATTATCTACAACTTTTATTCAGAACACATGCCAAGATTCTGTCGTTAGTTTACTCAAAAATAGGACACAACCGAAACTGTCTCAGATTCCAGATTGCACAAAAACTTCAACTTGGAATAGCAATATCTCACAAACTAGACCAGGTATAGGGGTGACTCTAGAGGAATTAGAAATATACTTAAGTCTAGTTGCTCCCATAAAAATTGCATAATTTTTGGCTAAGTAGATTTAGATTGGCAATGAGATAAGAGTAGACTACTCTGAAAAAAATAGATCTGAGAGAACAAGATGTACCAAACCTAACTATTTATTTATTGACTCAAACTTTAATATTCTTAACTATGGAACTTGCGGATATGCCTACAAAGTTCCAGCACTCATTACAAAAATCCAACTCACACATAAACATAATAATAAATCAACTAGGCACAGCAAAGTTCACATCGCAGTTCTAGACTCGACTTGACTCAATCTTGACCCGTGCTACTAACGTCTTATTACATAGAAAGGACTCTAACACTTATGGGTGAAATTCATGGGGAAGCTCCTTATAGATCCTTGGCAGGTTGAGGCACACCCTTTGCTCGTCTATCACTTGTCGGTATCTCTTAAGGGTCGCCTCCTGTGCTTTCAACTGATCTTCCAGCCATCGATTCTTATCTACTAATTCATAGGCATAGTGCACCATCACTTGAGTAGTGGGATCCGTGCCTTCAAGGTCCATTATTGCCCACACCAAGTCAGGGTGTTGGCGAGGGAGGAAGTGATATTGATCTTCCTTTATATCATCAATGCAGGCTTCAGCGGCTGCGTCTTCTATGCTATCTTCCATGGTGGCATAGTGAGCGTGATGCGCATAGTTCGAGTAAAGCTAGTATGCTTCC